GGACGGGGCCAGACGCTTGTCAGTGGTGCCCCGTGGCAGGACGGGAGACAATGGGCACAAAGTGAAGCGCAGGCAGCTCCGTCTGAACGTGAGGAAAAACTTCTTTCCTGTGAGGGTGACAGAGTACTGGGACAGGTTGCCCAGAGAGGTGGTGGAGTCTCCTTCCCTGGAGATACTCAACAGCCATGTGGACACAGTTCTGGGCAGCGTGCTGTAGGTGACCCTGCTTGAGCAGGGAGGTTGGACTAGATGATTTCCAGAGATCCCGTCCAGCATCAAACATTCTGTATGTGTGTGTGGTGTTTTTTTTTTTTTTTTAATGTAACCATAGCCCTTAGTAAGGGGGGGTTAGGCTACATATCTAGGAGTTGTTAACCTCTGAAGTCTGCTGTATTACTTTCCCAAAATAGACTGTATTGGTAGCATGTGCGTTAGTAGTACATTTTTGTCTCTTGCAGTGTCTTTAAGTTGAACACGTTAAATTTCAAAGTAACATTACTAAGTGCTAAGGTGAGATCCTCCTCTCACTTGTAGGGTATGTGGGGGGAAGGTGTGTCTTTTATTCCCTTCCTGTAACTGTCAGGAGGTGGTCATGCCAAATAGCCGTGACAGACCTCAGATTTGTGAGTACTGAGTGGGTAGTATTGTCAGCTGGCAGTTTAGTTGGTAGAGTCTTATGGACAGACTGCTTATGAGATGTTTGAGGCCTTTCTGCTTCACACCGGACTCCTTTTTTTTCGAATGAAACCATACGCTGAGAGATCTTCATTGCTGTACCTAACATAGCAGAGATGCTGGAAGCTCTTGCATTTATTACTCTGTAGCAGAACTGAATGGAAGGCCAGAGAGTTTCCAACACCTTCTCCCTCATCTCTGGTCTGCTTTATGATTTGGAGGATTTCTCTGCCCTGTGAGTTGAATTATGTTGTCACTCTCTCTATTGATACGTGTGAAAAGATTATTGTGTGTTTGCCAGTCAGTGAAACAGTACGCTTCCGATGTGGGGATCGCTTCCAGTCAGCTTCTTGAAGCCTTACTTCAGCCTTTCTTTGTCCTTTCTGCCACCTTCTGTCTAACACTCAAAATGCTGACGTGACCTATCCTTTTGCATGATGTAAAAACAGAATCTCATTGCTTTTATTTCCAATACCTTACAGAACAGAACGCTAAGACTTTCTAAGGTCTGCTACTAAGCTGTTGACATTCCGTTTTTGTTTACCTAGAGAGAAATGAGATATGGGAGCGAAGGATGAGAACACAGAATCATCCAAAACATTGTCTTCTTGCCATAGTCATGTTTATGAGGGGAGAGATTGTTTTCCTACAGCATATCAGACAGACAACTTATATGGTATACTTGAATAATTTGGAATAAACAATCAAGCAAATATGGAAAATAACTTACCATCTGCTTTGTGTGACTTTAAAGTACTTAAAATCTGAAGTACACACCTCTAATAGTTTCTCATCAGCCAGAGGAAGAGTTAAAATTGGGGGCCACGTTCTGTAAGCCGCTGTTAAAATCACTGTTGCTAGTGCTCCAACTTTCTAGGTGAAACAGTGGTCATCTAGATGAGATTGTGCACTGATAAAAAGTACACAGGTCCTTAACAATTGGCTCTTCAAGATGTTACCTGAATAGGTTTCAGTCTTGTGGTGTTCTGAGGGGGACGTTACGAACAACCAAGATAATTAGAATATGGGTGCATTTGTGTGGCCCACCTTTTGATTGGGGGGGATAGATGTGGATGCTAGTCAGAGACTTCAGCTATGTGCAGATATGCACCATGATGAAAGCCATGCAGAAAAATCATTCTGTATTAAACATTTTTCACGGTAAGCATTTTCCCTTAGTTTGGCAGTATTTAGTATCTGTTACTGTTTGTAGCGTTTTTGAAGACAAACTGTAAGCGTGTTTATATAAAATAGTGGTAAGCACTGTGCAGACGGCTGTCTAGTCTACAAATACAGTTTTTCATAGGTGTTTACTGATAATTCAAAATATTGAAATTTTTCAATTTTATTTAATTTAATTAAAATCAAACTTTGGTTTTTTTTCCTCTCTTTCCAGGCTTGAGTGGTCGTTTCTTTGTCACAACACTTCCTACAATTTACCAGTAAGTTTGTAATCCTGGAAACAGTTGTCTGTTTCTATACGTATTGATTTCCTGTCTTGTTTGCTGAATGATGGCATGGTACATGTAATGGAGAACTGGCTTATTTCAGTTTTGTCAATTTTTAAAACATTTCTCAGGAGCTCAGTGCACTTATGAACATAAAGTATTGTTTTTTTTTTTTTTTAATTGAGGTGAAGGGTTTTCCTAAAAATTTAGGTATCTAGATATGTCATGCTTTCTCAGTTTATAAATAATATTTAATAACACTTGTGACAAATGATACAAGTTTGCAGTAAGGACTTCTGGAAACTTGAGCATATGAGATCAGAGACATTTGACCTTATGAGAGTTTCTCACTTAATCAGTTAGTCAAATGACAAATTTATCTAGATAATATGTAAAACAGTGCAGAAACCTTTCACTACAAATGTTGCAATACTTCTGTTACTGCTGGAATTCTTCATATATTGGCAAACAGTACCAACATGCACTTGTATTTTTCACCTTAAAACTGTAACTATGAAATGTAAGTGAAAATGAAGAAACACTCTGGCTTCTGATATGGCTTCAGGCTCTTGCTTAGAGCTGTGATTATAGTGGTGAAGTATTTATTTTGATTGGGGGGGATAGATGTGGATGCTAGTCAGAGACTTCAGCTATGTGCAGATATGCACTGTGATGAAAGCCATGCAGAAAAATCATTCTGTGCATCTTTTCCTTAGCATAAGTGACTTAACATTCATAACAGAAGAACTTAGTAAAAAACAAATCATGTGAGAAGTTTGCTGTATGTTTTCTCCCACAGAAGATATCATCCTTTAAATACACAAATAAAGACTCATAACTCTTACAGAGCCCTGTGAGAAATTACTGTATGGCGTGTATGTGCATGGGCATACTTTTAATTCTAAGATGCTCCTCTAAATTGATTTGGTGGATAATCTTACGTGTGTTGTATTAGCTGTACAAGTGTGAGTGAATTTTTTGTCTAAGAAAATGCCAGTTTGAACAGATGATGACGACTTATGCTGTTTGAAAAGTGGGACCCTCCGTCATGGATTACAGTTTCAAAACACTGGAAATGCTACATGTTCAGATTTCTGAACAATTTGAAACATGTAGTGTATGTATTACAATATTTTTTTTACCATATGTAGAGTTATGGGATATCTGTGTTGTTAATATGTATTTATGCTTTTTAGTGCAAAAGATGGAGTATTTCGCAGATATCGAGGCTCACGGACACTGGAGGATCTTCAAGGTTATGTTTCAGAGAGAAAATGGGAAGCTGTGGAGCCTGTAGCAGGATGGAAGTCTCCATCTTCTATAATGTAACACTTTGTTTTTATTAACAGCAAATAGGTGCTTTATAACCCATTAGACATTAGAGGGGCTATACTCACAGCTTAAAGACAGAAGGCCTTTATTCTCTGGACATGTAGGCTTTGCAGAAGCAATCTGTATTGACAGTCTGCTTTGCACCTTCTCACCTTTAAAAGCAGTTTTACTATCTGCGCTCAAAACAAGCCTGCTGAGGCTTTTTTGTATGACCTTTGAAGATTTAAAAAAAAAAAAAAAAAAGTATAGCTGCTGATCATTTATACAAGTGTCAGTTTTAATATCTGCCAAATTGGAATGAAATGGTTATTTATGTAGATTGTTACTTCATGACTTCTGACCACTTAGGACAAGCAGACTCTGGCTTTGAAGTTTTTACGTTTAGCTGTTTACAAGGAACGCTTGTGTCCTTATTTAGAATAGGAGATAATGTAGTGCTCGCATGGTACTTTAGTGTTTGCACTTCCGCAGGGTTGGGTTTGCTTTCAAATAATGTAAAAAGCTTGCATGATTTAAAAGGTGAATCAGACATGAATACTCTGCATTTCATCCTGGCTCAAGATAGTCTATATGATGTGGATGAAATGTAGAGATTCGGGAGATGTTCTTCATCTTCATCTGAGAACGAGGAAGGGCTGTAGGATATTTAGTAATGGGGAGAGCAGCTATAGGGCTTCATGCTGCTATGAAATGGGAAAAGATAGTAATGGTTGCACAGGGGCATGCTGTGGAATTCGTATTTCTCGATTGCCCAGATAGTATCTTTCAAGTCACTGTTTTAAAGCTCTACGTTGAGCTGGCCTAAATTAACATAATATGGAGAAAATATATTTGCAGTAGTTTTCTTGTGACAACTACTAGTGGCTGAATGGTATTGGAAAGCATAGATGTAATCTATTCTGGTTACTGTGCACTACATGTTTTAACTCTTATCTGGCTTAGAATCTGTCCTTTTTTTTTTTCTTTTTTTCCCCTCCTCCCTCTCTAGGATGCATGGCATGGCAGGGCTCTTCCACCTCTCTGGGTGGATTAGGGTAAGTAACTATGAATTTACCCTCTTTTTAGACTTAGAATAACATTCAGTTTAGATGTCAAACCCTAATTGTCTTCTATATAACTTAAATTTTCTTTGTTTCACTGTTCATTGGATATAGAATTACTTTGCACTAGAAATTCTGCAGGTGTAATAGACTCTCTCTCTGCTAACAATGGCATTTTGCGATTGTAAAGATGACTTTCATCAATATTGAAAATAGTTACCGTTCATTGCTATTTTAATATAGCTAAAGTATTCTTTCAAAGTGTGCTAGCATCAAATGGTCAAAGCATTTATTTTGGGAACTACTGCAAAAATGGTTAAGTGTCAGGAATACCCTTTGTATCCGCTAGTTCTTCTCACTTAATCTTAAAGATTATATGCAGGCTCTTTTGACTTTTAAGTCATGTTCCTCTGCAGTTCATCTTTTTGCAGTGTCATACAGAGGAGGAAAAAAAAGAATGATAGTCCTTAAATAAGAATTTCTGCATCTGGGTTTCAAACACACTTCCAGAATTCACATAGGAGCATAATGCATTTGGACAGTAGAATACTCAAGCATTTTGCTTTTACTACTTAGAGTGTACATTTAAAGATATTTCCAATCCAAAAGTATTTTGAGACATCTTCTGGGAGCTATCAACTCTTTCCTTCTGCATGCCAATGCTTAGAACTTTCAGACCTGTCCAACTTTGGTCAGGAAACATGTACTTTCTTAAAATCACCAAGTGTAGCCAAGACTGGGAGATGCTAAGAGTAACGTTAGTTTTAACTGTGATGCGCTGAAGGAAAAGGTCTTAAGATTGTAACACCTACTTACAAAAAATAGGTTTAGGAGTGTGAAGAATTTGTAGCACTTCAGGTAATCATCTAACTATCCTGGGATTAAATACAACTTTTTCAGTTATTAGAACTTCTGTGCAAGCCGTGTTTGAGTCTTTCTTTCATTGGAGAGCATAACTTTTTTTTATAGACAGCAACAATAAAGGAGAAAAGCCAGAAGGCTGCTAATTAATAATGTCTTTGTCTAGTTTCCTTCCTGAAAGATTAAATGCTCTGCGAAGAAAGGCTTTTTCTTACTTGCTATTGCCTTGATGAATATTTCAGCTGTGTTTCCTCACTCTCTTGTTGTGCTATCCTTGCATATGCTTAAAAAAACTTTGGAAGGTGTTGTGACATAAAAAATTAGAATAACCCTGGAATTTCATTGCACTGTTGTAAATGTTGATTGTAGTTTGTTTTCTAATAGTATAATCTTGGAAGAGATCTAATGTCATAGTTTACTTCTAGCTAGACTATTTGACTTCATCTGATGGCTAGTTTAGTCAAATGTCATATTTAAGTTTGAATAGTGGGGTTCATTTTAAAAGGAATCTTGCTGTTGTATTCAGAATCATCTCTTAAATTTATAACTTAAGTCGCTTATTCAGTATCTGTTTAGAATTTGTGGCTCACTTTAAGAACTGAAGAACCTAAGTAAAAACTGAATGGCTTCATTTTAGTTAATGAATAAATTCCCAAATTTAAATATTCATTTTGATCTCGTGCAACTTAAGTGTTTACCGCTTTACTTACTGGATGTAATTACTGGGGTAAAGCTCTGTATGAGACTGTGTGTTGTTTGTTTGGTTCCCCCCCACCCCACCCCACTTGGTTGTTTGCTTGGTAACTGGGTATCAAATGGCACTTGCTTTCAATGTAACTTGGCTGCTTTTTGCCTCTCTAGTGTTTTAAATTCTAAATGATCTGTCTGCCTTAAAAACTTCTGTTGGTGCTGTGACTCTCATCAGGAGGGATGCTCACACTGTGGTCTCCTTCCTACAACAGAGGCCGTAAGAGTAGATGTACAGGTTCACACCATTCATTCATCTGTCCCTTTTTTCTGTCTCCAGCAGCTGCCGCGTTCTTAGAGAGTATAGGAATTAAGGATGTTGTGATACTTTCTTGTATGCTTTGAGCCTCTGGCAAGCTGAAGTGCTGAGCCTTCCTCATACATTTCCCTTCAGTAAGATTGCATACAGTACCACTAATGCTGAATATCTTAAATTGTACATTCCTTGCCTAAATAAACCTTTTAAGATAAACAATTTGGTAAAGAAAGAACATTTAATGGCATAAAAAAATTGAGATTTAAGGACAACTAGGGTATGAGAGGGAAGACTTTGGTATAAATATTGTTGAATGAAAAGTCTTGATTAGATGTCAGTTTATTTATGGCGGTATACATTATTTTATATGCAGTCTTAGATATGAAGATGTTAAGTCTGTCTTCTCATTTGCAGCAAATCCATAGCTACCTCACTGGCACTCTTGGAATTCATGTTTGGATTTCGTATGCAGTCTTCATCTTAGCAACCTTATTGATTGGCCTAGTCCTGGGTTTGGTAAGAAAGCATGTTACTTTCTTAATTACTTGGAACTTCTTCTTTGCAGTAATTATTGAAAAAAGAGTAAGCTTCAATGAGGAAACTATACCGAAGTGCCTTGTTTTAAACTACTCTTTAAGTATGCGTGCAACTAAAATGCTTATCTTAAATACCCAGTACTGCGGATCTACCTTCTAGCATTGGTACATACTTTTGGTAGAGATTATGGCTAATTGACTTAGATAAAACAACCTTTTTCGTGTGTGTGTGTGTGTGTTGTTTTTTTTTTCCTCCTTTTTTCTGCTTCAGTCTAGATCGGATTAGTCCATACTAACACTGCTCAAAGCAATGTAAGACAGTTTTTTACATTTTATTGTATACATTTGGCTGTGAGCCTTCACGGTGAACATTTGTAGTTCTGGCTTTTCAAAGCAATTAATGGTTGTTGTATAAGCTAAGTGGTAAAGCAGAATGTGCGCCCAGGTATGGGTATGTTTTGTGTAGACTTGCTGAAGCCATTCTTGAGATCCAGTCAAATGTAAGTGACTGTTTTTAGTAGGAAAAACAAATCCACATTTAGTGAGCAGGCATTATGTCTAAGATGGGGATGATGTCATTTTGTGTCCTTTTTGTTGTCTTATTAGCATCTTATTCAGCAGTTTTTTCAGCAGGAGATCTGGATTTACTGCATTATACATACTGTATGTTAAGTCTGATTATCTAAAACCCTATTTGTTATTCCATAACTACTTGAGCAGTATTCAAATTATAGCATAGTAATCTTGTTAGTAAAGTTATATTTTGTAGGATGTTGCCTGTGAAGGTACTCTGATATGGAAAATACATTGAAATTTTCTGAAGTAGAGACAAGAAATCCAGAACTAATGCAGTACTAAGGTGATGAAACATGAGAAATTCACTTGACAGTAGCTGCAGCTATAAGACGATATATGCTTAATGTTATAAATTTATGTTAGAGAAGTACAATATCCAACAGTTGGAGGAAAAACTCTGCTCATAAAGCAAAGATGATGCATGTTGGACAAGAAAATAGAGCTAAAGGAGTTGCTTTTTTGCAAGTAATTCTAATTTTTTATTTTCCCCCTCCAAGATTCAAATAATGAAAAGGTAAATAATGTTACAGAAGGCCTACTATAGGTGTCGCAAGTTCTTTGTATCTCTTCATCGTTTTTATGGCTGGCCTGTGACAATCATGGATTAACAAAAGTCTAACTAAGTTTAGCAAAAGTTAGACTCATGATTCATGTGTATCAGGAAAAGCTTTCCCTAACATCAGCTCACAACGAGGATATCTAACTAAACTGTTATTTTAGTCAGTGAGGAACTGAATTCTAGAAAATGACTGGAAAGATTTGTTAAATTATATGCTGATACTGTGTCTTTGTCAGTGGAAATTCTGATTAATTTTGGAAAGATCTTCTTTCCTGAGACTGCAGGAGAGAAGGATGATAGCGGGTTTTTTTTATTTGTCTTTTTTTGTTCTTCTGCTCTGGAGAATGCTTTATATTTTCCTACTCTTCCTTGTAAGTATATTGAATCATGATTATGTTTTCCTGAAGTGATATTTGAACGGTGGTAACTCAGTACCCAGCCCACTGGCATGTTGGGGTAGACTCAAAACTTGATTCTGTATTGGAGATGAAAATCAATTTCGGCCCATAGCATTAGCAAATCTTTACTCTTTGTAATTAATTACTAAGTAATTTTTCCAGGTTTTGCCTGCTTTCCAGCTCAGGATTAAAGAGGAAAGGTGCTACATGTGCAACACTTTGCCTTCAACTGGATAAGAAGCCAACTTTCTGCAAAGATTTCTCATACCATCTCTTCCCAAAGCCCCTGCTTGTTTGTTATGTCAATGTGTGGTTTTCTGCCTGCCTTATTTATGGGCTTTTTATGAGGGGAGGAAGAAGGAAGTGGTAATTTTCAACAGTTATTCAGTGGTTAGAATGGTAGCAAGAGAAGTGTTTGTAGGTCCTTTTCATTCTGTTCCAGATGCTCTTGGAGGAGAACCTTTTTAAAAAAAAAAAAATGCAAATCAGTAGTTGATGGAACTTGTCATTCTTGGCCAAATCCTCTTTCTGAAAGTATAGATCTCTTCCTCATTTCTGACCTCCCTTGTCCTTGAGGAGCTAATTTTGGTTACAGTTTTAGCTGCCCTTTCAGGTCAGGTTGAGTGTTTTGTCTGGTCTACTTATTTCACCTTCCCATAACTTCCAGTCGCGTATATAATAATGGAGAGTCTCAATAGCTCTCAGTTGTAATATGTCAATTTAGTGCATTTAGTACTAAAATTGTTTTTCCCGTTCTATGTCCTCCGCATGTATTAAGCGACCCAACTCTGGGTATCTTACGCTGTCAGTCATTGGTAGATCCTCAGCTACGTTATGTGACAAGGCAATGTGTTAACTGGAAAAAGAAAATAATTTATGGTTTTGTGTGTGAGATACTGCACAGTTTTCTGAGAGCTCTTAAGTTGGAGCACTTACTTTCCTTACCTTAAAGGAGGTTAATGTTCCTTGCTATTTAACCTGTGTAAGCTTCCTAGCTTTAGGAGCTGCACACCAGAATACTAACAATCTTCAACATAGGCGAGTGGAGGGTTCTGCACCTGGGGAGGAATAATCCCGTGCACCAGTGCAGGCTGGGGGCTGACCTGCTGGAGAGCAGCTCTGCCGAGAAGGACCTGGGAGTGCTGGTGGACAACAAGTTGACCGTGAGCCAGCAGTGTGCCCTTGTGGCCAAGAAGGCCAATGGTATGCTGGGGTGCATGAGGCAGAGTGTTGCCAGCAGGTGGAGGGAGGTGATCCTGCCCCTCTCCTCAGCCCTGGGGAGGCCTCACCTGGAGTACTGTGTCCAGGTCTGGGTTTCCCAGTATGAGAGAGATGTAGAGCTCCTGGAGCGAGTCCAGCGAAGGGCTCCTAAGATGATGAAGGGACTGGAGCGTCCCTCATGTGAGGAGAGGCTGAGGGAGCTGGGCCTGCTCAGCCTGGAGAAGAGAAGACTGAGGAGGGGATCTGATCAATGTGTATGAGTATCTGGAGGGAGGGCGTCGAGAGGACGGGGCCAGACTCTTGTCAGTGGTGCCCCGTGGCAGGACGGGAGACAATGGGCACAAAGCGAAGCGCAGGCAGCTCCGTCTGAACGTGAGGAAAAACTTCTTTCCTGTGAGGGTGACAGAGTACTGGGACAGGTTGCCCAGAGAGGTGGTGGAGTCTCCTTCCCTGGAGATACTCAACAGCCATGTGGACACAGTTCTGGGCAACGTGCTGTAGGTGGGGGATTGGACTAGATGATCTCCAGAGGTCTCTTCCAGCCTCAACCATTCTCTAATTCAGGCTGTGTTCGGCAACGTTAGGCACAACAGAGTGAGCATTTGGGAGGTTGATAAGAAAGGGGATGACATTAGCTTCATGATGATCCCACAAGATGGGACTGGACTGTGTGTGCACAGCTCAGGTCACATAGCAACCACAGCGTCAGCTTGGTCGCTTGTCTTTAACTCCATTTGCGTGTTTAGTTACCAGGCAGTTCTCTTCTGGTAGTCACAGCACAGCATGGACGAAGTGCATCAGCTACTGGTTTGCTTCTCTTCATATGATAAAATCTAAGTTTTCTAATTCAGCAGTATAATTCTTAAATACTGAAAGAATGCTCTAATGGTCTCATAAGTATGTCCTTAACAACTACAAGCTTGTGAGTCTTCAATATGTATTAAATCGTCAGTGCAAGGTGTCACGAGTAGTTTGTAATCAGCCGATGCCTCTGCACACAACTGATGTGCACTTCCTTTAATGGCTAAATAATCTAGATTCTAACCATCTTATCTTTTTTAACATGCTTTTTAATTAAAATTACTCCTCTTTGTATGGGTGGGGATAAAATTGAGAAAATACTTGGACTTGGGTTAATTTAGAGTGTATTTCTTTCTTCTCATCACTAGCTTTCTGACTAAATTTATACTTACGGTAGAAATCTGATAATGCAGGCACTGCTGGGATTAAATGCATGTTTGTTAATAAATGTCACGTATCTTTTTTTTTTTCCTTTACTCAGATACTGGTTTTGATTTCAGACTGCCTTTGCCCATCCAAGTCAAGATACAGAGCTGAAAAAACTGGTAAGAATTTTAAGTGGATGAGAGACTGTGGTTTTTAAATGTGCCCTTGTGGGAGGGAGGGCAATAAACTGCCAAGAATCTAGTTGTGAACCAATAATCAAGGTGTTCATTTTAGTTACACTGTGGAAAGGATTGAGATGTCAAGCTCTAAAATATTAATAATATCAAACCTTCCACTTGGAGGACAGTAAAGCAACCTTTCATCAGACAAAAATTCAGTACTTTGTTTCAGCTTTCCAGCTTCCACAACTATGAAGAGGCTAAAAGCATTCAAAATAAGAAAGTCCACTGAAGAAAGATGCTGGGTTTTGTGTATTCTATGTAGCTGCTTATCCCCTAGATTTATTATTTAAATAGACAGGGAATCTGCTGCGGCTGGACACTTCCACATCCTAAAACATACTCTGTATATTGCATCGGGAGACACAACATTCTGGATCTGTATAGTTCTCTAACTCATGGTTGAGGGATGAAGGAGGTAGAGGGAGTCAAATGAACCTAGAGACTGCGGGATATAATAAACTAATGTAATAAAAGTAAGAACTACAAAATTTCTGCATCTGTATGAGTTCCAGGTGGGCAGACTTCAGCTCTGTTGTGTCACTAGCTGCAGATTAGATCTGGTTGCAGTACTGAGGCTTTGAGAGTCCCTATATGACTTTTGTGTGGGAAAAGAATAGAACCAAAGACTTTCTAGCTTCAGGTTCATGAGAATTAAAAAAAATTACGTATCATAGGTGACTAGAGGTTTGGAGTGTATTTGCGTGTGTCTGGTTTTATATGGTTTAAAAAAAAAAGCTTCCCTCTGAAATACTTATGTTAGTCCCTATGCTTTAAAGGAATTAATAAGGGCGGGGGAGGAAGAATGTATGTGGGAGGCTGTTTCCACATTGTTTTTTTCCAAAGTGAAGAAATGCATGTGCATCATCTTGATCCTCATCAAGGTGATTTTGGAATAATGTTCTGCTCCCTGTTTGTATGGTAGGCAAAAATGTGCACACAAATAGTGTCTTATCTACTTAGTCTCTTATCAACACAAGATGCATGTTAGTTTCCAGAGCGCCTTGTGGCATAGTTCTGCTGTCAAGTGGAAGCAAAACTTACCTGTAATTTAAAAATTGATTTGTAATTAATACATGTGTATGTGTTTTGGTATGAGGATGTATCTATGACACTTGTCAATAAGACACTGGCCAAATCTACAATTCTTAAGTGTTTAGGATTGTCGTCTTCAGTGCCTTTAGCTGTTCATCACTGTAAGGAGAAGAACAGATCAAAACCCGTGCGTACATGTGCAGCTGGCTGACCCAAAAGCAGCTGTTAACTGACAAAGCTTACCAGTATCTTACCGCTTTCTCACTGATTTGTTTGATAATGATGTCCCTTCAATGAATCAAGTAAAATTGATCTACCTTTATTTTGTAGCCTGGTAGAGTAAGATGAAAACAAAATTCTTTAATAAGCAAGAAAAACAAATGAAATTGGAGAAATACTACTGAAGTTCTACTTGAAACAATGGGAAATAAGGAAAATATAATGCTATAGGGAACTTTTCAATGATAATCATGAATACTTCAGAATACACAGTGATGTAACTTAAAGAAGTTACATAAAAGTGTTATTTTGAGATTCAGGGTGACCTTAGTATTTGAAACTCTTATTTTGTTTAGAAGAAGTGATTGAAAAAGAGAATGTGGAGAATGCAGCATTAGAAGAACCAGAGGAGGTGGCAGAGCTTTCAGCAGATGATGTAGAGGAGCCTGCAGAGGTGAAGGACCTCTCAGATGGAGAAGATGCAGCAAATTCAAGTGTTGATGACTCTGAAGAGGATTTAGCACTTGCTAAAGAATCAGAGGAAGAAGAAACAGAAGACTTAAGTGAACAACCTTTAGCTGATTCAGAGATTGAAAGCTCAGTACGACAGCGTAAAAGTCGGGTGGCTGATAATGGACTATAGTTGTTTTGGTGGAGTATTTTGTACACTTGGACCAAAGAAGTATCAGACCCTGGGTCTGAAGCTGAAGCTTACACTTGACTTGTCACTTGTGTTTACGCAGAACCTCTGCTCTGCTTTTTTTTTTTTTTGCGCTAATACATGCTCATTGACTTCATTTTATAAGCATACATGCTGTGTATGTAACTTTTGCCATGACAATCAAAATGAGTATATTTTATCTGTTTGAAGACATCTTAAGAGAAAGAGGATGTAACCAACTCTCAGTCCAGTGGCTATGAAATGGTCATCTGTGCTCATATTCCTTTGCAGATACTGACCTTAGCAAGACCAGAATTTCTAAGTAGTTTAGCAGGGCTGTGACTCTTCTGTCTGAATTTTTGTTTTTTGTTTTCCAAAATGCCACAGAAGCGTCTGATACAGTATGATACAGTAGCGAAAGAAGGCACCTTACTAGTCTTCTATTAAAAACAATTTTGTGTACGATGGTTTATTTTTCATTCGCAACTGAAGCACCTTTGTGTTGTGTTTTCTCCAATGTTTGTTTTGAAAGTATATCATAACTGAGCTTTGTGCTCTGATTAGTGTGACTCAAAAATTTTTCAATTTTTGGTAATTCAGAAAACATTCAAAAAAATGAAAAAAATTGGTAAATTCAGCTTATTGGCTGATCTTCCCTTCCATGGTCTTCCCCCCCCCCCCCCACCACACCC